GCAAAACACTTACTAAAGAGGTGATAAAATGAGTGTTTAAACACTCCCCACCCCTTCTCTAATGGCATTGATAGTCTGATGGTAGGGGTTTCCGGACTCATAATCATGAGGTTGGGGGTTGGAGGCTGAGCTCAGTTTAGCGTTGTGTCCTTGGTAAAGGCTCTGTGTAAGACGCCCGCGTGTCTAAGACGGTCATTTTTCTCCTGGACAGCAGGTGGCCATCTCAGACAGTGTCAAATGTGTGGTCTATTTGGTTGTTTAATTTGCAATCTGGCGTGTTGGTCAGTGGCAGGGGGTAAGGCTTAACCTATTGTATTGTTTGGCTGAAAGTGTGTAAAGCAGAGAGAGATTGAGTGAGTAAAGTGTGAGTCTCAGTTCAGTTGTATTGTTTGGTGCAAGTGTATAAAAGCAGTCTGGATTACTAATGGTGAGACTTTAGAGGGGAGAGCTGTAGCAAGGCAGAGGAGGCCTGTTGAGACTTCGGGTGGAGAAACGGGAGAATGGCTAGTTAGAGCCTCGGTTTATTTCCGTGTTGTGTGTGAGATTCCATCGCATCGGGGCCCCATCGCTGAGGAAAGGATCACGATCCAGAGAGAAACAGGTTTGGCTAACCTTTGTTGTAAACGCAGTCAACCAAAAGGTTAGTGTTTAACAATTAATTTATGTTCAAGTAACAACAAACTGTATATCTTATATTAAACATAATATACATTTCTGAGCATTATTTCATTTGTGAGTCTCTCTCTCTCTCTTTCTCCCTCTCTCTTTCTCTCTCTCTTTCTCTCTCTTTCTCTCTCTTTCTCTCTCTTTCTCTCTCTTTCCCTCTCTTTCCCTCTCTTTCCCCCTCTCTCTCTCACTCTATCTCTCTCGGTCTCTTACACTTGAGAAAACAGTGAGAAAAAAAAAGAGAAAGAATAGAAAGAGAGAGAGAGAGAGAGAGAGAGAGAGAGAGAGAGAGAGAGAGAGAGAGAGAGAGAGAGAACGAGCATTCAGAAGAAATCCATGAATGAGTGATACCCATGACAACAAAACTAATCTAGACAGTTTATTGTCTTTCAATCTTCAGGTCTTAGCTGGAGGCCCCGCCCACTTACGTCCTGTGGAGGAGCTGACAGTTCGCCTGTGCTTCGTCAACTTTGACGGTGCACCGGGATTGGCTGAAAGCAGGAGGCGTGGTCTGGAGGAGGGGCTCGGTGATGTATTTGTGAAAGAGTTCTGCACACCCGTCTATGAGGGAATCACAGTAAGTGACATCCACCAATTTCTGCTGATTAATTATTTTTTTTAATGATGAAGACTTTACTGGAAAAATAATCAAATGAATTACAAATTCTTTGATTAATTTTTTTTACCCCCTTGTTGCATTCTTTAGAAGTCTAGCTTTCTTCTCCGCAAATAATCCCAGGATTAACCCAGCTATACTTACCATAAGAAACAGACCTTCAAACTTTGAATTTCCATTTTCTACGCTTTCTTAAATGAGAGTTATCTTGGGGGGGGGGGGATAGGATGATTGTCTTTGCATCTCAGTGCGAGAAAGGGGGGGGGTTGGAGGGTCCACTAGAGTACATGTTTTAAGTTTGTCCTACAAGAAAATAAGTTTGAACTCAAAATCAGTGCTCTTCTGAGGTGCGCCACATGACATTTCATCAGGTGTCATTAAACCTTATATTAATGATTTACCTATCTTTACACTTTGTCAATTGCAGGCTTTGAAGACCTGGGTGAACAAGCTCAAGACTGAGGTCTGACTGGTCTGTGGCTTGAGCATCACCTGGTCTGACAGACTGACCCATGATAGGACCTCACCTCACCACCTGGAGAGATGGGGATAGGAGGAAGAGGAGGGTTCATAAAGCCGTTACTTGATTAAGCTTACATTATTGCTACTCCAGTGAAAAATAAATGTTATTAGTTTTATAGAGTGGATAATTGAGACAGTGAATGAAGAGTAAGATGAAACATATAATTAGGAATGATGGAATGAATTAGTGAGTGAATGAATGATTAAATGAATGAGTGAATTAATGAATTATTAAATCAATCAATCAATAAATGAATGAATGAATGAATGGATAGATAGATGGATGAATGAATGAAGGATTAAATGATGAGTGAGTGAATGAATTATTAAATTAATCGGTGAATAAATGAATGAAGGAAGGAAGGAATGGATGAATGAATAAATGAATGAATGGAGAAATGAATGAATAAATGAATGAATAAGTGAATGAATGAATGAATAAGTGAATGAATGAATGAATGGAACCCTGAGCACAGTCACAGCTGTTTCATCTAGATAAAATAAATAAACACAATTGAGGTCTTGTTCTACATAAGAAGACTCGTGTACACTATCATACTATGATGAGGCAGCAACGTGAATCAGACGCTCGTCAAAATACAGAAATCGGAGAAACAGGCACTATTTGAATATAGTGTAAAGCGCATAAAGCCTGTTGTTGAGCGGGGATATGGGCTATACAAATGCTATTTATTATTATTTTCCGAAAGTTTGGAAGTTTTCATTGCATGTTTTTTGGGGGCTCAACTTTTTTTTACATTTCCGCAATAATTTTATTTAAAATCATTGATTAAAAGCACAAAATATGTCATTTATTCTGTTTTCAATGACTCTTTTATAGTTATAGGAGTTAACAAAATTTGGCAGCCATTTTCTCACTAATTTTACTACTAAAACCAAGCGACCTCACTTCCTTCTGTCGCTAATATCTTGAGTTCTATTCAAGGTGAATGGATATTGATTTCATAGGAAGGAAGGCAAATAAATCAGCTTTCAGATGATACCAATAACTCAACGAGCCCAAAAATTGACGAGTGCCTGATTCCACCGCATCGTGACACATACATGTGGAATGAGGTTGATTGTCTGTAAGAACGAAGATGCCGCTACTTACTTGCACACTTGCACCCATGCTTTTTTACATCACGATGATTTCCATCTTTTTCTCATTTTTTCCAGCACCCTTTTTCAAACTTTCTTGATTTGATTCTTCATACGATAAAACGAAGGCATAGTTTATTCATTGTTAGAAATAGAAGTTTTACTCTTATAAAGTGATGACTAATAAAATTATCCCTCTGACTTTTTTGTATCGATACTATGTCTGTATCCGTCTATCAATCCATGCATCTATTTGTTTGTTCATCCATCCTTCCATCCATCCTTCCATCCATCCATCCATCTATCCATCCATCTATCCATCCATCCATCCATCCATCCATCCATCCATCCATCTGTCTGTGTGCTTGCCTGTCTCTCTTTCAATCCATCTATCCGTCTGTCCATCCATCCTTTCATCTGTATGTCTGTCTTGTCTGTGTGCCCATCTGTATATCTATTCAACAATCTATCCATGCATATTACATAATATTATTTATAATATCTTTTGTCTGTCCGTCTTTCTACCTGTTTGTGTTCTTGTAAATATGTACCTACCAAAGTATATGAATGCAGAGATAATATTAATAGGGGGAAGACGCCTTGGGAATGTTACAAATAGAAGGAAGCCTCGTTTGGAGAAAACAGGCCTCAACAACAATACTGGACTGAGACTTTAGGCCGCGACTTGTTACATAATTGTTTGTGATTAAAGATTCTCCGACACTAGACAGTCTGGAATACGGTCAAGGAAACCAGGACAGACAGACGGACCATCTAGAAACATCTACACGGGTTCTGGGACTCGTTACATAACAACCGTAGACAGAGGCGAAGCGTCTATTATAATCAAATAATCACTGCTTCCCTTTCTAATGTTGGAACATCGTTGCTGTCAAATTCACCCATAGACGTAGACCTCGTTGATGAAATGTAACTTAAATAGACTTTCACCATCACCAATGAGCAGTGCACACAACATTCAAAACTTTTATTGCTACAAAAATAGGCATAGGCCTACCCAGTTCACCCCTTTTGGGCCAGTCTCATAAACAGATACAAGCACTGATTGTGTGAACTTACTATTAGGCCGGTAGGGTCTACCTAAAAAGGTGAGGGGAACGTGTGCACAACACCCAAAACTGTTTCATTGCCACATAAATACCCTGTTCTTCCCTGTTTGGTCCCTTTCATTAATGATAACAGTGGGTGGTTGTCGGGTGCTCTGGTGTGGTTTTGCTCCTTCTTTGCTATCAAGCATCTGTCGTCCTTATCTCCCCTCTTTTTTGTGTATGTTACTCTCTTGTAACACATAATCTATTCTTCGTCATTAGTGTGATCTTATTGTGTTGCAAGTGCCGTAAAACTCTTACTAAAGCTAAAAATGGTATCAAGCATTAATTAAGTAAGCTAACAAAATTAGACTGGTAGGGTCTACGCCTCAAAAAGATGAGTGGAACTAAGTCCTAATAATCTCATGACTGCTGTGAGTGCTTGTCTTTTGCCCTCGACTTTTTACCGTCCAATAATGAGATCATGACCTGATTATGACACCGTCTCCTGGCCACAAAAAACTAGACAAAGTCAACTGAACTTGACGTCAAATTGATAATTGCCCCGTACGTAAACTTATATTCACATCTTTACTTAAATTCAGTGTTGAAAAATTTCGAGACCATTATTCCCACAGCATGTTTCAAATGCATCTAAGGTTTAGCCCAAAGTGGGAATAAATGTTATTTAATTAGATATTTTCCCAATTATTTTGGCGCTTGAGCTTACAACATGAAGTCAGAATTTATTGCTTTCTTCATTCACAACTTAGAGATGGCGTTGCAGTAAGAAGTTTTGTTTTTTATGCTCCTAGCGTGGGACATCTGTCCTTTTTTTTTTTTTATATTTTTTTTTTTAAATAAAGTGTTTTACAGCGCTCGCAACTGCATAAGGTCACATGAGCGCGCGGGACACACCTAATATTTTCTGTTTGTAGGAAATTTTGAATTTTGCCCGGGTGGCGGCCGAAGCCTACTCTTATCGATTTTAGACCACCAAGGGATCTTTAACGTGCGCAACTTGCACACGGGCCCTCCGAGATTTTTCGCCTTTGTCCGAGAAGGCTAGGTGTAGATCTTTCCCACCAGAAGATCAGGGGTGTGGCAGAAAGACAGCAGTAAGAAGGAGCCAAGGAGTAGCAGTAGAAAGGCTGCAGAAAGAGTCAGGAGCCCAGAGGAGGGGGGCAAAGGAGGCGAGGGGGTGGGGGCAGAAAGTGGAAATGAAAGCAGACAACAGAACATAGCTAGATAGCAGGAAAGGAGGTGAAAGGAGACAATTTTAGAGAAGAAAATTTTTTGGTCGCTACCCGGATTCGAACCCGGGACCTTTGAATGGGAAGCCAACACCTTAACCTCTAGGCCACGAGAGCCCCCTTATCCGTGTGTGACCTCATCTCTATGTGGTCGCTTTTAATAACTAGCGGGCTAACCCAGATTTCGGGGGTATCCAGAAATCTTGACCTACACCAAAAGTGGGCAGCATTGTCCTACCTATAGGAGAAGTTTGGTTTCATTGTTGTGTATATTTGTTTGGTCATAGAGAAAACTCTCCTTCCTTGTCTTTTAAAGAAAATGAACAAGGGACAAAAACGATACCTTTGATTTTCTCAAAACAGCATTTTTCGGGATAGCCCCATTGTGCTTAAAAGCGACCATGGCGTGGTTCCTTGACTCACTTTGATAACCCTGACAAACAAGTCGGTCAGCCTTCGCCCCTGAGACTACAGGCTGCTACAAGACAACTGAAGCTCCCTGACGCCTAGGGCATTATTCTGTATTACTGACATATTCGTCGTTTACAGGGCAGTCGTAGTCGTAGGGAAATAAGATCTTACAATGATGCACGTAGTTGTTGTTTGCTGGATGTTGTTCCTGGGTCTTACAGACGTCAGGGCCTTCCTTGCCAACGACAGAGGTGAGTAAATGGTTGCTTTTAAGCACAAGGGCGCTATCCCGAAAAATGCTGTTTTGAGAAATTCGAAGGTAAAGTTTTTGCCCCTTGTTCAGTTTCTTTAATCAAAATACAATGAGAATGTTTTTCTATAACTAAACAAATATACCCACCAATGAAAGCAAACTTCTCCTATAGGTAGGACAATGTTCACTTTTGGTGTAGGTCAAGATTTCTGGAAAACCCTGAAACCTGGGTTAGCCTGCTTGTCCTTAAAAGCGACTAAATGCATCTATGTAGTGGTCTGTGTATAACAGGTGATTGTCTTAGACAGGTGGCCGGTAGAGCAAGTTCGACTGTGTGTGTATATATACGTATATGCTATACAATTATATTTATATATGTACGTATGTATTATTAGAAGTGTGTGTGTATTGTAAATAAATAAATCATAAGTTTGTTTTTATGTGCTTTTGAAAGTCTGCGTTTGATTGCATAGCTCTCCAGTCTCCTTTAAATATGCCAGTTAAACAGTGTCATTGAGAGGTCAACCCCCTCCCTCTCCACCCCCCGCCCACCTAAAAAAACCCAAACTAACTTTGACCCTCAGTGGACTTCTTCTACGAAGTGCGAGAAACGCAATAATATAACCTTGTTTGTTTTGTGGGTGCTCTGGTGTTGTTTTCTCAATCTTTCCTATCAATCATTTATCGTCATTATCTCTCTTCTTCTTTTCATTGTACTTGTTACTCTCTTTTAACACCTCTAATATTCGGCATTTAAATGACCTAATTGTGTTGCAACTACCGTAAATATCTTACTTATACTAACAAAGCAGTATAGCCCCATCTTGGTCAGGGCCCCGGTACTCCAAACTGTTGTCAAGTCGACCACCAAATGTTCCACTCTCACATGTTTTACAGCATCACAGGCATAGGCATTGGCTCTCATATGACATGACCTTATGCTTTTGCGAGCACCGTGAAACCTCCACTGAAACTAAAACTAAAAGATATAGGCATGTGCGTTTGTATGTGTGTGGGTGCGCGCGTATATGTGCTCGCGCGCGTTTGTGTATGTGTGTGTGCGTGTGTGCGTGCGTGTGTGTGTATGAATGTGTGCGCGTGAGTGTATGTGTGTGTGCGTGCGTGTGTGTGTGTGTGTGCGCGCGCGCGCGCGTGTGTGT